TTGGAAGAGTAAGAGAAAATTGAGACAATTGAGTTTTTGAGGTTTCATCCTCAGAAATTTGAGCATGGCTTTCTAAAAGCTTTGATCATTTTAAGTATTTACATGACAACTTAATGTAATGGCAAGCAATACAAAATTGAAATTGCAAAACTGAGTTTCATATTTGCTTGTAAACATGACTTTGTTGATCTCGGGTCTTTCAAACTGTGCTTTTAATGCAACAACAACACTGCCCCTCCAAAAAGTAAGAAAAAATTATATGCTTATAATAAAATTAGAGAAACAAGCTAAATTCTGAACCAGAAACAATTTGTAGGAAACAACAACAGCAGCAAAAATAGTAACAACAAAAATATATATCACGTAATGAAAAAAATTAAGTACTTTAAGAAAATAGAGCCAGTACTGGCTATTTTAAGAGCTAATAGTAATTGAGCACTTGATAGTTGCAAGCATCCCGTTTAACGCCCACTGTCCTGTTTACTTCAAATACCCTTTCTCTCAAATGGGTCCTAGAATTAGCCACATGTTAAATTTAAGGAACATGGTTTCATATAAGCACATAAATTACCTGTGCCATATATCTTATCCAGTCTCTTTATTCAAATTGCAAGCATTTTCCAAGTCACTAAATTTTACTTTAAAAACCTTACAGAGTATGGCCATCTAATCAGGTAATTATTATGTAAATAGATGTTATCTGCATCTAATCCCCAATTATTGAATACTCACCAGCATTGATAACTATTATTTGTTTAAACTTTGCTAGTTATATAAATAACTCATACATTTTCATGTAGGAGGGCTTGAATAAATATCATCATGCAAAATTAGCAAAGTATTAATATTATTTAAACACACTTTATTTAATTTTTTTCCCAAATAATAAGTTTCAAAATATTTAAGCCCTCAAATAAGAATAATGAAATAGAATTATTCATTACCAGCCACGTTTCTTAATCTTGGAGTGCCAATTTTCCTTCCATGGCCAATAAAAGAGAAGTTTTGCAAACAATTCCAACCTCCCCAAAAGCCCCCCTCCTGCACACCAACCAAACCAAGTCATCACATTCATGGTTGGCCAAGGGGGGCCCAATTGTGCACATATACCACCTGGAAAATCTGCACTCTCATGTCTCCCTCCTCAAAGTCCATTATCAAAGGCAAGTACAGATTTTACTCACTTCAAATTGATGATGATAATATGTACTCACAAAAATTAAAAATAAAAATGAAAAATATTTAAAAATTGATGATGATGCTATAGCTCTTTGGGAACATCCCTTAAATTACTCTTTGGCTCCTAGAACATCCCCATTGAAACTGAATTTATTTCCACTCTGAGCAGTTGCCAGTATTGCATAAATCCCTGAGGCTTTAGAGGCTAGGCTTAGTGGACATGGATGAAACATAGAGGTGACAAAATATAGAGGTAGCAGACATCCTGTGACTTTTCAAAAAAGAACAGTGGGGGAGTTTCTACCCATGGTGGAGGGGAGGACTTACTCTGTATGATTATGTCTGCTAGAACATTTTACAAAGAAAAGCCTTGATCTCAAATACTAACCATGTATAAACACTTCTATTGCATAAACCCAGAGGCAGTTAATATTTTTAATGAAGACAAAAGCACACAGAAAACAATTACGGTTCTCTTAAATCACAGTTTACACCAAGCTAATTGAATTTAAAAGTAACTAAACAAGAAAACATCAATTAGATATCTATTCTCTCTCTTGTATAATTACATTGTTTTATTGCCTATGTTTCATAATTGTTGCCAAGCAGCTTTTAAATCCTATCATTAGTTTTCCAGAAAAGGGAAATGATAAGTGTTATATGTTTTGGACTCTAAGGTGTTTTGATAGGTATGCTGCTGCTGAAATTAGGTCCTCTTGACAAACAGGTGTTCCCGGTACACATGATTTTTAAAACATCCTGACCTATTAGAAACAGTTATACTCACGGAGTTTTAGTTACTGAAAAATAATCATTGCAGTGGCTCATGAGTACTTTGTTTATATACTAGCTAAATCTAAACCAAACCAAGTCATCATGAATGTATCCTCTCTACTCTCCTCACTTTGAGCAAGAGATACAATAGCTTTAAAAGCAAGTTGGTTTCAAAGGTAAAAGCAGCCAAGATCACTCCACTTAATTGCATCCTTGAGAATGTAGGAATAGAAGAAATGATGTATCTGTGAAAGTGGTCTCCATGAAACTCTATTTAAATGGTTGCTTCTTCTCAACCTTCCTCCCATTTTCCCTTTTCTAATGGTAGAATAAGCTACCATCAGGTGATAAATGTAATTAGAGAACACTGTTTTACAAGATCATATTTCCAAGTAACAAAAACTTTTAGGTCAGTTTCATACAGAAGAAGATGTGCTGGATATATAATTCTGTATATAATATGTAATTCAGCCGGTGGGGACTTTTCTTCAGTGCCCTTATTCACGACTCTCTACTACTTTGGATATATCTTTTTCCTCATATAACCTAATGATAATAATAGCCTAATCCATAATAAAAGTCAACTTCACACTTATTGGCACATCATAGACCTTCATAGCCATCGTCTAGGCTTTCATGTCCATAATCCCATTAATATTTGTAATAATCCTGAAAGAAATTCTGAGTATTACTTTAAATATCTTGAAATCATGTAGCAGAGGTTCACAAAGATTATATTAACCCCTGGCCTTACAAAGCTGGCAAACAAGTGAGAAATGCCAGAATTGTTTTTATTCTATCTCCTACTACCCCTTCTATAGGCCTGCCCTAGTAACCACACTCCCATTGATTTCTCCTGGAATTCTTTCAGTATTTAAGAACACACAATTTGGCATTTGAAGGCTAGCTTGTATTGTTCTGTAATGAACTCTCCCGGGCTTCATCTCTTAAATGAGATTTTAAGCTCCTCAAAAGTAAACATCTTTTGTGCCAGCCTTTCAGCATCACACTGTATTAGTGGGCAAGGGTGGAGGCACAAGATCTACTTGGGGAACAACACTTCTTTGCTTAATAGAATCTGTACTGCTCTTTGCAGACCTAGATCTTTCTCTACTAGATCTTTTTGCCTTTGCTTCCTGCTATACTTTTTCTCTCAGTTTTCCATAGGTGTTGGTTATTGCTCTAACCCTTACATCCCCAGTCCTGCCTTCACACCCTCATACTTGTTCACCTGCTGTAGTTCAACCACCCAACTATTGATGTTGGCTTTTTCTAGTGAGACATCTTTGCCACCTTCAGCTTCAGCAGATGGCTTTTAGAACTGGTCCTGCCTTCAGATTGAGCTCATTGTACAACCAAATACCTCTTCTAGACATGCCATCTAGCTAGATTTTTTCCTACTTCGGCAAACTTCATACATGATATGTGCATTGGTACAGCATACTTAGCTGAAAAAAAAAAGCCACATATAGCAATATCTCCGCTTACAGAAATTCCAAATTCCTTTCTATTATGGGCTCCATGGCTGCCTATCATTTCCTATTTTCTTCTACGGCCACTAAACATTTCTAGTTTTCTAGTACTTTGTAAAATTCAGAAGAGGGAACTTGTCAGATTCATCTCTGTAGCAGGATGTCGATTTGTAAATGAAGTGTTGATGCACTGTTGATGTTATTTAATAAAAGTGTGGTAGATATGAGTAGGGCAGATAGGCATTCTAAGAAAATGGCTTGACAGAAGAGCTGAAAGAACTTGTTTAGAATTTTAGAATTATCAAAGGGCTTCATGTTCATTTCACCTTGTTAGGGAGGGGATATCTCCTTTTGCCTAGAGCATGTCTGTCAACCATTCAGAGTTCAAATGGTTGTTACAACCCAGCAAATGGGAAACAAATTTGAGTGGTACTGAAATGGGTTAAGGGCTCTGATTCTCGTCTAGTCTGTTGGTTACACTGGGAAGGAACATCTGTCTAGTTATAATACTCAAGAGTACTGGTATGATAAATTTGGGTAGGTTTCAGAGTGCTTGCTCACAGCTAGCAAGCAGGATCCAAAAAAGATGTAGAAAGTTGTGTAAACACCTGCAGTTGCACTGACACTTTCATTCATATGTTTAGAAGAGACTTATAGCTGAAGAAAATTCTCTTTTTAAAATAGTTTCTCAGCTGAGATTACACTTTTTTAGTCTGTAGCTCACAGGAAGTTCTAGTTACCAATAGCATGTTCCATATGAGCAGATCTCTACCTAATTCTTATGCATAATGAACCCAATTTTCGTCTCTTCTAGAAAGATACTGAAAACATGTGCCATGTTCTCAATGTTACAACCATATAGCCTCATCCTTCACAATACAATACAATCACCAACAAAGTTTAAAGTTCATGTCTGGCATCCAAGGTGAACATTTCCATAGAAAGTAGGAAATATTTAGATGTCTGTTTGCCTTGGTGGTGGTGGTCCTATACACATTTTGTGACCCTAAAGATATAATAATGTTCGACATTTTTGTTACCCAGTAATGTGGACTTTAGACATCCTAACCACGCTGCTGACTCTTAACTCTTTACCAGACTTTCACCTAGTTCTTGAGCCTCACTGCAGGCTCCAGTGCTAGTCCCGGAGAAAATCAGAAAAGGGTTGAAACCACTGACACAGTCAGCTCTTCAGCTATTCCTAACGCAGGTGTACAGTTTCCTGTAGTGAGCAGATCAGGGCCCACAGGGACACTGCATGCTTGCCCTAGGCTGTTACTAGTTTCATGGAAACATGTACTAATTGTGTCACTGTGTTTTCTTGTCACATTGCCCCCTTTCTAGGCCGCTCTGGTACCGTTTATTTAAACTATGCAACCATCTGGCCCAGGTGCCCTAGAGATTGATTAGCAGCACAAGGCCACCACAAGCACAACCGCCACCCGGCCATCCCAGCTATTTCCTCCAGCATTCTAGACATCATGGCGTCCGAGGGTGGGTCCAACCGGCTTCGCGTGTTCGGGAGATAATGCACTCTTCGCAGTGGAATCTTCTCAGGGCCGCGAGCGTTGCCCGCCCATTAGGTGGCGCCGGGTCCCTCGAGCAGGTCGCTCAACAACTCCCGCCCACCAGCCGCCCTTACTGCGCGCGCGCAGACCCCGGCGTCTACTTCCGGTGTGGCCCAGGCCGGGTCCGCAGAACCAGCTATGTCGGCCTACGGCATGCCCATGTACAAGAGCGGGGACCTGGTGTTTGCCAAGTTAAAGGGCTATGCCCACTGGCCGGCGCGGATAGAGCACATGACCCAGCCCAACCGCTACCAGGTGTTTTTCTTCGGGACCCACGAGACGGCCTTCCTGAGTCCCAAACGCCTGTTCCCGTACAAGGAGTGCAAGGAGAAGTTCGGCAAGCCCAACAAGAGGCGCGGCTTCAGCGAGGGGCTGTGGGAGATCGAGAACAACCCCACAGTCCAGGCCGCCGACTGCCCATTAGCCTTGGAGAAGGGCGGCGGAGACGGGCCCTGGCCGGAGCCTGAGGCCGCGGAGGGCGACGCCGACAAGCCGACTCACGCTGATGGCGGCGGCGACGACGTGAGGAAGCCGCACGACGACAAGCCCGCTGAGGAGGAGAAGGAGGAGAAGGGGCCGCTGAAGAGGAGCGCGGGGGACCCGCCGGAGGACGCCCCCAAACGACCCAAGGAAGCAGCCCCCGACCAAGAGGGGAAGGAGGAGAAGGAGGAGGAGGAGGCGGCGGCGGCGGAGGCGGCGGCGGCGGCCTTCGACGAGGAGAGTCCGCTCCTCGTGGCGGTGGAGAACGGCAGCGCCCCTAGCGAGCCCGGCCTGGCCTGCGAGCCGCCTCAGCCAGAGGAGGAGGAGCTCCGGGAGGAAGAAGTTGCCGACGAGGAGGCCTCCCAGGAGTGGCATGCCGAGGCACCGGGCGGCGGAGATGGCGACAGCGTGTAGTTACCAGCGTTTCCAGAAGAGCCCCTGCCCTGTTCCTGCTGCGGCCCGGTCGTTCTTGGGGAATCTGGCCATGGCCTGCAAACTGGGACTGCCTTTCCCCGTCCCCAGCCCGTCCTCCTCCAACCTACACTCCCTTGCCCTGCCCGGCCCCTGGATGGCAGATCACCTGACTCTCACCTCTGTGCCCCCACACCTCTGTGATCTGAGTCAGGGCCTCAGTTCCCTCCCTGGGGTAAAGTGAGGCCACCATCCCCGCTTTCCTCTCCCTCTTCTCGCCGCTCAACACCCCCCGCCGCCCCCACCGTTGCCTGGATCCGTTTCCGACTTGGGACTCAGGCAGGCTGTTTTCACCTCTAGACACCCCTCCCTGCCCCTCCTGCTCCCCGAGACATTATGGACCTCTGCTTAGGAATGTGGGTAGGAGCGAAAGACCTGAAAGATGAAGAGCAGGGGGCACTTTCAGTCTTCAAGCCGTGGTAGTTAGCGGGCAGGAGAGTGACATCTTCCTGTGCTCCCGTCCACGCCTGCCATACCTCCCAGCTTCAGACATTCAGGGAAAAGTGGGGCAGCATGTGGAGAATCCCCCCCCGCCCCCACAAATCCTTTTGCTGACCCAAGAGGTTCCGGGAGTTGCCGTTTTTCATCAAAACGTTTGGGGGCTTCCAAGTTGTTTGTGAGATCTGAAAACTTGACTTTGCCCAGTATCCTGGGTGGGGACCTTGAGAAATATCTGTCCCCATTTAGATCTCTGGGGCCACTGATGGGATACCCTGGGAAGATCCTTGGCTGCCGCTTTCTCTCCCCACAGCCTCAAGGCCACCCTACGGTCATACATATCACTCAGGCGTAAAGACACATATTTTAGAAAATCTTTTTAATAAAAGGAAGTTCCAAAAAATTTTTAAGAACTACCCCTAGGTGTGCCTCCACACTGGCCCTAGCTTTCCCATTGCTATTCCATTTTTGAGATAAACTAGAAGGCTCCCTTTCTGTTTGAGGTTTTATGGCTTGTAGTAAGGCTTTGCTGTTCCTCAGTGTCATTTTCCACTCAGGTACCATCACCTGGTCCCATCAACAGGTCTAGTATGTAGCCCACTGAGAAAACAGAGGAAGATGTGTCTCCTCCCACCCTCTTCCTAATGGTCTATGTGCCTTTCTCCATATATTGTCTCTTTACCCCTTCCCCTCTCCCTTGGGCTCTGATGAAAAATTGTTGACTGCAGCTTCGGAAGTTTAGATCTGAGAACCAACCGTAGAATATTTCAGTTCTAGGAAATAAAACCAGTTGATTAAAGCAAATTTTCTCGGGCCTGTTCCTTTGGTTTCCAAGTAATTGGTTCTTAAATGGAATGCTCCTTTTATTTTTTTATACATCTTGTGTTAAAGCAATTATTTGTAACATACAGGGACATTTTAGAATCACCCTTGAGAAATCTTTGTTATCTTAAGGTCTGTATGCTTCACTTCATTTATAATAGTCACTACCGCTGCTTTGAATAAATGGAAACAAGTTAACTTAGAATGTTTGGATGATGACAAATTGGGACAATGCTTTGCCAAAGAATTGCTTTGTAGAAAAATAGAGTGAAAGGATTTGGTCCTTTTTTCTTTTTCCTGCTTTCCCACGTAATACTACTGTTTTTTCCAATGCCTTACTCATGAAAATAAGACAGTTGCTTTATACTCCCAGTTTGTAAAATATAGTATTGGTAGACTATTTTGCATTTGTAAGTGGCTTTGTGCAGATATCCCAGGATATTTAAATATAATAATGGTTACGTATTAGGCATCCTAATTTCTGTATTCATCAACATTGCAATTCATACGTGGCTTCACTAAATACTGTAGTCCTTCTCACAGGACATGCTATGGTGTCACTAACCAGCATGGTTGGCAACTGAAGACAACCTTGTTTTCCATCCCTGTAAAGATGGTATTATTTTGCTCCAAGATAGATAAATCAGATGATTCCTTGTTTCTCAACTACTGCTACTGCAATAATATTAATACTAGAAGTTATTAGGCACTGAGTGTCTGCTCTGTGTCCTGAAGATGACTTCATTCAATCTTTGTAATAATCTGGCAATGTAGGCATTAATACTCAAATTTTTCATTGGAAGCAGCTCTGGTTCAGAGGTTAAGTGGCCTTTCCTGCATTCCACAGAACATTCAGGATTCAAACACAGGTTTTAGTAGTCCAAAACCCAAACTCTTTCTCCTGAAGAGCACATTTAGAAAAGCAGTAACGGCCGGGCGCGGTGGTTCAAGCCTGTAATCCCAGCACTTTGGGAGGCCGAGATGGACGGATCACGAGGTCAGGAGATCGAGACTATCCTGGCTAACACGGTGAAACCCTGTCTCTACTAAAAACATACAAAAAACTAGCTGGGTGAGGTGGCGGGCGCCTATAGTCCCAGCTACTCGGGAGGCTGAGGCAGGAGAATGGCGTGAACCTGGGAGGCGGAGCTTGCAGTGAGCTGAGGTCCGGCCACTGCGCTCCAGCCTGGGCGACAGAGCAAGACTCCGTCTCAGAAAAGCACTAACAATGAAATCAGAAGTCAATAAAAGCCATTTTAGTATTAATAACAAGTAATCATGATAGTAGCTATTACCGAGTCTCTAAAGTGAGCCAGGCAGTACAGTATGTTTTACATGTGATGTCTTTATTAATACAACTGCCTAATTAGGTAGCTACTAATACCTCGATTTTAGGACTCAGGGAGCTGGGGTTCAAAGATGTTAAACAATTTTCCCAAGGTCATACAACTAGTAAATGGCAAAGCCAAGATTCAAAAGCAGGTCTTTCTCATTCTGAATCATAGGTGCTTTGTTTCATTATATTTTATTGCTTCCCATTGAATAAAACTTTCTGCTGAATACAATGGGAGTAGTTATTCTCCTACTATTTTGAAACAAACATTTAGAAATCTGAAAGGCAAAAAATATATTAATAGATGTTGCTAGTGGGTGTTTAAACAATGTCATTTGGGGCAGCACCTGACAATTGTTTTGTCTTTAAATGTTTTGGTGAAATGATGAGGACAATCGCGCATTCAGTATTTTTCAAGTTGTATGTGACTATAGGAAGTTTGAATATGGATTGGTATTTTTGCCGCAGGCGGGCCTATGATTCTGATAAGGCTTTTATGGAGGTACATCTTCTGAAATGATTCAATAATGTGAAGTATAGAAAATGAAATTACTACCATTTGTGTCTATTTCTTTGCACTATTTCTTTCCTCTTTTTGTGCTTCTAATACTGGGCATAGACATAGTTGTTTACTGGGACTTGACACACACATTTGCCTTCTTGGTGACGGATGGTATTGAAGTGAAAACAGTAATCCTATACTGGAAGCCCAAACCTCTCCATTATGCAATATATCCATGTAACAAACCTATACATGGTTCCCCTGAATCTAAAATTAAAAAATCACTTCCAAGAAATTTGGCATGGATCACAATTAGCAAGCAAGAAGCTTAAAAAAAAAGATAGTCCAACTAGTAGTATATCTAATGAATGATGCACTGAGTTACTAAATACAATTAAACCTACTAAAGGGAACTATGGAGAAAATCTATATTCTCAGCCCTGTTTTCCTGGGTATTATGTCCCATTTATATGCTTTAGTGGTCAAGAGATGTTTTTGAGTGGACTGAAAAACATGCTGTTTTTAGTATTTTCTTCTATTATTGAAAATTCCCAACAATTCCAGTGCTGTTTTTGTTTTCCTCTGAATAACATGTGCCTCTATGACAAAATTACTGATCAATGACTAGTTACTTAACTGAACAAAGAGTGCTGCTCAACCTTTTGCTGATGTTATGTTGTCAGTAGTCCAAACATGTCCATGCGTGTTTGGAAGATCTTGTTTAAAAGTTGCATGTAAACGTATGCTTATGATATTGCCAGTGATTTGCAGACACATTTAGCATACTATTTCCTATAAGGTTTTCAAAGTATTTGATATTTCACGTAAACATTACTCCAGCAAGGGACTGAAATGCCATTGAGGGCTGTCAATTTTTCTGTTTTCTTTTTCTTTTAGGCAGGATTGAGCTTTCAACTGCTCTGCAGATTCTCATCAGAGGTGCAGACTCTTCTTTGTGGCTCATACCTACAGTTTATTCTTCCTGAAAATATAGTTTGTATTCGGGGCACACAGGCGTCTTCTATTCACTTCATCATCAACACTTGTCAAACAAAAAACCCCCTACTACTCATGCTACAGACTCATGCAGCTCTCTGCGTTTTGAAAGAATTGCCTCCCTCTTCTGAGCCTGGCTCAAGGTAAGACCCACTCCTGTGTGTTCCTGTAGAGCCCAAACTTGCACTGATTGTGTTCTAATTTCCTGTGTATTGCTTGCTCTTCCGCTAGACTGGAGGATAAAGGAAATGTGTTTCATTAGTATTTACTCCCACTTCCCAAACATGTCACAATAAGCACACAGTAGATACGTTCTAAATGTTTGAAGGTCTGTTGTCAAATATTCCTCATAATCGTGGTGCTGGAGTAAAAGTCATGTAATGTTGAACACATTCCGATTCTGAAAGCAGACAGGCAGGGTAAACTGGCCAGTATACTAATGGCAAGTGTGAGTTGGGGTGATTTTGTGTCCATGTCATAGCTGCCTAGATTAGGTGACTTGATGACATTGACAGTTCTTACAGACCCAGATAAATCTACCTTTTAATGTCAAGGTAATGCTATCTATTTTATCTAGATCTTCCCTCCATCTGGGTCACTTGTCGTAGTTTAACTTTCTACAATGCATTGGGCCCCAGGTAGACAAAGGGAGCATCCTGCTTGCTTTCAGGCAGGAGCCATGTATTCACCATTCAGTCAAAAATTTACAACAGTAAAGAGTAAGTATGCCAAAAAGAACTTGTATCTGCCATTCCCTCCGCCTCTTGTTGTGTAGACATCCCACTTGCTGTAGACACTTCTCAGAATTTAATGTCTTTGAAGGAAGGGGATCTATTCATCCCACAATGTGGTTTTCGCCCAAATCTTCTAAGCCAGTTATCTGTCTTGAATATAAATAATTATCTCTTCCACTGCTGGTAAAAAAACTAACTGTATTGGACCTTGAGATATCTAAAATAGAGACATTCTAAGTGATTTACTAGAGTAATTCTGACAGCAGGTGATTTTCTCTGTGCAGTCTGATTTTACATGCAAA